CCTCTCGGAACGTTGATATCCGTCGTATCGATGCTAACCCTCTGAAAGGGGCGCTCTACACGAGTGGGCACCATCGTCCGAGGCATCGGTACCGGTGCCTTGTCCGCCACGCAGGCCGGGCAATTCTGAACGATGTATTTCACACCTTCCCGAATTCCCGACCAGTACCATCCATTTTTTTCGATGGCTTTTTCCGTGTACTTGACCGCGAAATGGACCGCATCCTCCTCATGAGCGGCTCGTGTCCAATCGAACCTTGCAAGAGGGTGTGGAACCTTCAACCAGCTAAGCTCTCCGTCGTCATAGACGTTCCGTTTTTGTAACGTCGGGCCCTGCCTGCGATAGTCCTGGGCCCGCTCCGTGACTCTCCACCGTTCGGCTTTGGTAAGTTCTGATAACGAGTCGCCTGACAGTCTCCGTAGCAACAGAAGGTCCGTCCAGGCTTCTGCCCGGCGAGCACTTGGCGCAAATCCGTGAGTTGTTCTAGCGTCCTGATACCGCCTCTCGGTAGGGACTTGGTCCGTTCTACAGTTGGGACAGACCCACGTCTTTTCACTTTGGTACCTAACGCACTGTCCGTGAGATTTGACCGTATGACACTGACTACACTGTACCCATAAAAGAAAACTGGGTCCTCCCGGATGTCACCCTTCTTGGTCCGGGATCATAGGCAAGGTACAAAAGAAATAGGGACTTAGGTGTGTTTTAGAGGACGAGTTGGGGCTAGASGAGAGAGCGAGGGAGTGGGATGAGGGCAGAGAGATAGCGTCGGCCATCTCCGACGAAACCTCTATTCCGGACTCAGGCGTCGTCCTTACGCAGCACGTGTAGCTCCCCGTAGTACGGTTTCGTAGCCCCGACTTCTGGCCTCCACGGAATGAGTTGCTCGTTGGCGGGACACTTGTTGGGCGGCCGAAGGCGCGTTAATCCATCTGCGTTACCATGCTGCCGCGTGGCACGGTGGCGGATGTCGAAGTCATAGTCTTGTAGACGCACCGCCCACTTGCCCAGCGTCTCCGTGTATTTCGTGTTGTTGCGTAGGAACAACAGCGACTGGTAATCCGTAACCAGCACGAATTTCTGGCCGTACAGATACGGTCGGAAATGTTGAATCCCCCACACCACCGCCAGGCATTCACCTTTGCATGCTTTGTAATTAGCCTGCGCCTGGCTCAGCGTCTTGGACGCATACTCAATGACGTGCTCCCTTCCATCCTTGTCGTGCTGAGTCAACACCGCCGATATCGCCTGAGGCTGCCAGTCTGTGTACAGTGCGAACGGTCTTGTCGGGTCGGGGCGCGCCAACACAGGAGCAGATGTCAGAGCCTCCTTCAAGGCCTGAAACGTCGCTTCGCATTCCGGCGTCCAGATCAGTTGTTCCTCTTTCTTCAGCAGGTTCGTGAGGAATTTCGCTATACCGGCGAACCCCTTGATGAAGCGTCGGTAATAGGATGCCAGCCCTAGAAAAGCCCGAACCTGGGTGAGTGTGACCAGCGCCGGGGCGTCTTGAATTGCTGCCACCTTCCTCGGATCCGGTTTTAGTCCGTCGACCGTGACGATATACCCCAAGAATAAGATCTCCGACATGAAGAACTCGCTTTTCTCCAAGGCCACTTTGAACCCCGCATCTTTCAGTGCATGCAAAACCCACTCAATGTGTTCCACATGGTACTCGTGTGTTTTTGAAAAGACCAAAATATCATCCATATACACAATCACGCAGAAATTGATCAGGGGCTGGGTTAGTCGGGTTTTGTTAACGAACTCAGCGAAGGCCATATTCATGGCCCGCTGAAACGTTGCAGGGGCGTTACAAATTCCCATGGGACACCGGA